TAGGATTGTTTTTAAAATTCTCTTATTTGCTTTTAAATCTCTTAATGGCCTGGCCCCCCCCCCCTACCTCTCGGAGCTACTACAACCATATACACCTGCCCGTTCCCTTAGGTCCGCCAATCAGCAGCTCCTTAAGGTACCGAAAACTAAGTATAAATTTAAAGGTGATCGTGCTTTTGCTGTAGCTGCTCCAAAGTTGTGGAATGATCTGCCCTTGCATGTTAGGCAGGCCTCTTCTCTCTCTGAATTTAAAAGTCTTCTTAAAACATATTTATTCGCTGAAGCCTTTGGCATTGATTAGAGGGGTTGACTCAATTTGTTTTAACATGTTTCAATTTATTGTATCTATTTATTTTATCGTATCTCATTTTAATTTTCTTTACGTATGCTATTAACATGTACAGCACTTTGTGAAACTCTGGTTTTATGTTAAAGTGCTTTAGAAATAAAGTTGGTATGGTATGGTATGGTATATATAGTTACAGAGATTCAAACAAGATCGGGTCTCCTTAACCGGATGTAGTGTTTCCATTTACCCCAAATTTCACTAAATATATCAAACTGGAGTCTTTTAATGAAGGTAATTCTTTCCATTTTAAACATCCCATGTACAGTCTCATGCCAATCACCCAGTGATGGAATTTTCGCACTAAGCCATTTCTTGGTAATAATTTTACGGGCAGCCAAACTCAGGATACCATACAACTGCTTAGACATTTTATCTACATTTACTGAGTATAAATATCCAAACAAAGGTTCGTCCCAATTAAAGGGAAGCTGCATACCAAAAATAATCTGCAACTCAGAGTGGATCAATACCCAAAAAATGTTGATCCTTGGGCAAGACCAGAACAGATGAAAATGTTTTACTCCTTGGGCCCCACAATTTCTCCAGCAATTAGAGTGATTAAAATAATGTTTACTTTGTGCAGGGGTAATAAAAAACCTACAGATACTCTTCCAACCGTAACATCTCCATGTATTAGAACTAGAAATTCTCCACTGAAAAGCGCACTGCTCATACCAAATGTTATCTGATATTGCTATATTTGTTTCATTTTCCCATTTTTTTTTGATGTAGGTAGTATTCCACTTCTTAACCTCTTGTATACCCTTGTACAATCTTGAAATCACCTTAAGGCCTGTGTCAGCCTGATAAGCCTTGACAAATATACTCAGAACAGGTAAAGAAAAAAGATCTGTTCTCTTAGGTATAAAATTATATAGATGATGCCTAATTTGTAAGAACCTAAAAAAGTCCGTTTTACTTAACTGGTATTGATCTTTTATTGATTGGAAGTCCCTAAGAATTCCCTTATCGTAAAACATACAATATGCCGTTAAACCTTGTCCAGACCATTTTTTATATCTTACATCTAATTCATTAGGTAAAAAATCACTGTCAAAAGCGCACCATCTTAAAATCCTAACCTCTTCAATCCAATCATTCTTATTAAGAAATTGTAACCAGAGTTTTAAAGGTAGGTTAATCCATTGGTTTCCTTGATGAATTTGTTTTTTAATAAGTGTCACATCCCCTAGAATTGCCTGAATTGGAGAATCTTTTAAGGTCACTGTTTCTAGTTCTTTCCATCTCGCTTGATAATCTACATTACACCAACACACTAATGTCCTCAATTGAGCAGAAATATAATAGTCTTTCAAACATGGGAACCCCAACCCTCCTTTGTCTTTAGCCAACTGAATAGTTTGGTACTTGATTTTGTAAGTATTAACAAAGTACCTGATCTGGACACCTGCCATTTTCTAAGTGATATTCCACAAAAGCTTTGTGGTACATCCTGACCTCTAATCTTTCAGTTTACTTTACTGGAATAACAACAATTAAATTTAAGCTTAACCCATGCTATTGTTACAGTGCTGTTGTTATTGTATTTTACTGAATGTATAAAAAATGTATTATTAAAAACCTTCATTCAAGTCTTTTATTATTTGTAGAGAAAATATTGCTGTTTTTTCTTGTTATGCAGTCAGAATCTGACTATTTTCAGTACACATTTGGAGATATCATCTCATTTCCAAGGAAATGTGCCAGCGTGAAAGCAGCTTACAAACACTTTGCTGTTTATGTGGGTACAAAGAATTTATTTGACCAAGGAAAGGACAAAGACATATTTCACCGCATACGTATGTATTACTTAAACTGAAACTATATGAGAAGTACAGTAATCAGTTAATCCCTGAAACACATGCATGTTAAGATAATGTAAAAATTCTTTGTGAATGCATGTCATCATATTCTAAATTATTAACTAATACGAATTACAACCAACCAACTACCTGATCATGTTTGGCTGGCTGATTTTGGATTTTTAGTTGACATAACGCGCTGAACACGAGCCTTCAGGGGCTAAATGCTGTGGTAAGCCAACTGTATTCACACATCAATCAATCAATCAATCAATCAATCAATCAATCAATCTTTATTTATAAAGCACTTTTCATACAGAGAAAATGTAGCACAAAGTGCTTTACATAGTTAAAAGCAGCCCACCCCACCCTCCAACTCACTCCCCACACTCTCAATACACATATATCCCCCCACCCACACACACATACACACACGCGCACACTTAAAGAGTAAAAATTGGGCTGGGCTCGCATGAGCCAAGTGAGGAAACACTATAACAGGGAGCCGTCTGCACCGGGAGCCGGTCACAGACCGCAGCCTCCAGGCTGGGCACACAGCAGGAGGGAGGCAAAGGAGCCCCCAGCCAGGCTGAGAGGACCCCAGAGACCCAGCAGCCACGGTCAATAACAGCCCCGGTGCAGAGAGCGCCCTCCGAGGAAACACTGGAGATATGACGCAATACAATATATATAGGGTAAAATGATAAAATAAATAAGAACAGGATACAATATAAATATAAATAGAATAAGAAGATTAAAAAACGAATAAGAATAAAATCAAACAAATATTAGGTAAATCCTAAATTAATAATAGAATAACAGGATAGAATAAATAAGCATAAAATAAATAAACGCTAAGTAAAAGCTAAATTAAAAAGGTGGGTCTTGAGCCTGTTCTTAAAAACATGTATGTTCTCTGCGGCCCTGAGCTCCTCGGGCAGGCTGTTCCACAGACGAGGACCATACCACTGAAACGCTGCCTCTCCGTGAGTATGTGTCCTGACTGCTACTTTTCCAAAGACACCTCTCACAAACGCAGCCCAATACCACACATTTCCCATCACTGCAGGAAATAATGACCAGTTTTCCACAAACCAATATCAGTACACAAATGAGGAGGTATGTAGCAGACATCTCTTCTCTGGCTGAGGAGTTTCAACACCGCTTTCAGGATTTTGCAGCTGTTAGGAGATCATGTTTTTTTTCCTCTCCTTTGTCCGTGGACCCTGATGACACCGAGCATCGCAGTCGGAATACTCGTTGTTTATCCTGGTTGTTGGTTTAAAATTGAAAACACATCCATTTTTGTTTTTGATATCTGACTCAAAATAAAATAACATATTGTAGTTTTTTGAGGACTTTTGATGGTCAATTAAAAAACTAATAAACGAGTGATGTACGGATTTATATGGGCCATAATGTTTTGTACTTTTGAATAAGTTGACTCTTAATGTTATTTTCCTGTTCACGTGTTTTGAATTCAGATGTTTATTTTTTCTTCATTTTATGTGTTCTTCAAACACATGATTTTGGTGAAAACGTTTAATAATAAATCGATCATAATAAAAATTTGTGTTTGAAAAAAGGAAAAAAAATATTGTAAAATCTTTCATTTGCATTTAATGTTAATGGTTCAAAATATTTCAGGCTGAATGGTTGGCCCCCACACATCTCACCTTCCCAATCTGGCCCTCTTTGCAAAAAGTTTGGACACCCCTGGTGTAGAAGTACAGAAATAGCAGTTACATTTATGATACAAATGGAAATAGGGAAAAAAGCAAATGAAAAAAATTAGAAATGGAAACAGGCTTGCTGTCAAATTATTATAAAGTATTTTTAACAGTTTTTTCTAATCATTACAGGTAAGCCCACTGACGGTAAATACTGTGTTTTCGGTTCTCTCAAAGATGAGGGAGCACATGCAAAAGAAAATGATCTGGATAGAAAGTTGACACCATCAAATCGAACTGACATAATTAAACACATCCAAGTCATGAAAACTGAGAAAAACTGTGGAAAATATAAACTCCTGAAGATTACATGAAGTCTTCATTGGAAATAAAACACTGATCAAGATTCTGTTTTTGATTGTGTCAAATTAAAGTGCTTCCATGCAGTTCTTATTTGTCTCATAAATGTGTACCCAGACTGTCTTACTATGTGATCCTTTGCTCTTTCCCCCAATGCCATATAGTTCACTACTGTAGACTAAAAGCTAAAATGTTATTTAAGGGGGGGTTAAATAGCCTATACTCTGGGACTACTTTGTGGTTTCGTGCATGAGTTCAAGCAGACCTGTTGCAATCATTTTTTTTCTAGATACATGTTTACAGTCATGAAATCTAGTTTACATATAAATCTTAAATGTTAAAATGAAATAAATCCTAATAAAATAACTCACGAGCTAATAATATAACAAATAGTGTGATTAACCTGAGGCTTCACTGAATTTATAAGCACCATAATCATTTAATTGCATGTCTTGGATGGATTTAAAGGACAGAAAAGATATCTTTAAAAAGACAAAAACTCAAACCAAAGATAACACAAGTAAATAGAAGCAGCATATAAGTAAATTCATATATTTCTTTATTAATTCCATTAATGTTGACATGCCACTGACCAGCCTGCAGGTTTACATGGTTACTCTAATGGTAAGAGCCCATGCAGATGTAAGAGTGATACTAATAAGCTACAGTATACGGACACTGAAATAACAATAGCACAAACCGAGGTTACTTGTTTGTAAGTTTAACACTATGCATTACTTTACAAAAGGTTTTTGGTAAGATGGAATGTTTCAGTGGTATTTTATACAATAATGTGTGTAAAAATATGAACATATGAAGTAAATGCCATTAATATCAGATTTTATAAAGTGGTGGGTGTCCCTCTGTTCGTTGTCCTCTTCAAATGCTCATGGTGACCTGGATAAACTAAGGAGACAAAGATAATATGCCAAGTGTTACTCTACAACTCTTACACAGTTATCCAGTAATTATTTTCTTCACTACATCACATTTTTATTAGGATGTGTAATAACTTTAATAATGTATCCAATTGTTTCAGTTTTCCAGGCAACTGTTTCTGTTTGGTTAAGGCATGTTTGCAGCTTCCTGCTGCCACTGTAAGAAAGAAGAAATCAATCAATTCATATTTGGTGTTAGTATCTTGCCCAAGGATATTTGGCATGCAGACTAGGGGAAGCCAGGAAACGAACCACCAACCCTCCGATCAGTAGATGACCTGCTCTACCACCTGAGCTACAGCTACCCCGTAGTCTTTGTAGTCTTTAGGAGATTTGTTTTTCTGTAGCAAATAAAACACTGTTGCTTACAGGTTTGCTATATAACCTTAAAATGTGCCAAGATGTCTATGTATTTCTAAAACACACTGAATATAAAGACAATCAACATCACAAATCTGTAGAAAGGATGTCAAGACATCTCAGAAACAGGGACTGACATCCTCTTTTGGAACCAGAATGTGCAGAACAGTTCTGTGGGATGGACACACGGTACTGAGGTCCCACGTCCAGCCCAGCCCCTTGAACCAAACTAGGAACTAAACCCATCTATAGTAAAAAAATAGCTGATATGTTGCTAAAACACCACAGCAAGACGTTATTAATAATTTCCATTCAAGAAGGAAAGCCTGAGTGTATAACAAGTGTCAACAACAGTACAGTCAGGATTGTGGCAGCAGGGAATTCACATGGAATACTATTTCCAAGCACAGGGTGGCAGTGTTCATTTCCAACATGCTTTAGTCTCACTTGTTCAACTTTAATGCAACTTCCAACTCGAGTGTTTCGGCTGGCAAACTAAAGTTCTGTGATGTCATCAAAACACAGTTTTACATTGTTTGAAAAAAAATAGTTATCAGATTTTTGTAATTATTTCAAGTGTTTTTAAGTAATCTGTCTGAATAAAAGCTGTATTATGGTTAAAAAAAAAAAGCATATTTAGGTTTAATGAACATATTTACTATATAATGAACATCTTATTCCTTAAACAGTGACCAAAGCCTTTATCTGAAATTAGTCTCGAGTCTCGGAGTCTTCATTTCTAATTCCCTTTGTATAATTGGGTACAACAGTTCATGAGTCTTGTTTCCAACCCTCGAGCTCTGTTTTTGTAAGAAGGCTTGTTTTTTTGTCTGCCTTTCAAACTAACAGCATCACACTGTTAATACAAACTCTACACAAATTTCAAATTAAATACCTTCCAGCGTTTAGTGACAAAATTATAAACTCTGTGTTTATTTTGACACAAGAAAACACGGCATTAAAACGAACTCTTCAGACAAAGAAGGAACACGTCAGCTGTAAAAAACTTACATCGTCATACTGAAATGAGGCGTTGCCAGTTTGGGTTGTGTCCCTCCTTCGAAATTGATCTGAAAAACAAAGACACATTAAAAAAAAAAAGCCACATGAGTTTTATTACACAATTTATTTCTTTTGCTTTTCTGTCATTGTGGGTATTCTTTTCTTTTATTGTTTTAACAAAGCTGTATGACCATCTATAAAAACCTCATGAACGAACACAATTTTATGTTGTCTTCTTAATCATGTTTACAACTTAAATACACGTAAAAAAAAAAGGATCAGGCAATATTCAAGGAGCCTAAGAAAGGTCCTCTGTCAAGAACATTTACTGCTATGTCCAGTTTAATGCATTTCTTGACCGACTCACCGGTGAGGGCACGGAGCCTCACAGCGCAGCTCACAAACTCATCAAAGGGGATTCTGCCTTTCAGACTGTAGCGCTTCATGATGCAGTTCATAGCCTGAGGGCTCAGACTGTAACCTGAATGAACACACATACATTATCTAATGGTCATAGCACTTGGCTAACATCTACTTTATTGCCACTCTAAAACCCAAGGCAGTCTGTGCATGTATAGTCCATATACACAGAAATATGCGGGACAAAGTTCAAAGTCCTTTTCCCTTAGAGACCTTCTAGGCAGTCTCTACTGTCCAGAGAAGGGTCAGTATGAACTTTTGGAGAATTTTGCACTAAAATATTTTAACTTTAGATAACATCCTTTCTATTTGATGTATAAGGTTTAGAAAAACTTTGACATGTATTTTTACATCAAACAAGGATGCTGGATTCTATCCCTCATCACAGCTAAACTGACTTGTACATATACAGCACCTCTTTGGGATTGGTAAGAAAAGTGGGAATAACTCAAGCAAGCAAAACATGCTGCAATGCTCCAGTGGACACCTGACTGTTGTCAAAGTCATAACTTAATTTTAATTTTCTCTTACCCATGGAGTTGATGGCCTGCTGCAACTCATGGCCCTCTATTGTCCCACTCTGGTCCCGGTCAAAGGATGCGAAGGTCCCCCTCCAGCCATTCAGAGCCTGCCACAGGTCCTTGAACTCATTAAAGCCCATAGTGCAGGACAGATCCCTCTGAGATAGCAGAGTCAGTCAAGGACCCTTAATACATCACCCAAGTTATGGTTTCCTTTCCTTCCTATAGCGCACTGTGTCACATAGTGTTTTTCCATTAGCAACTGTCATCATATCAGTTAATCCACTAAACATGTCTTTTGGATGATTAGCTGAAGGATACGTCCAACATATTGATCATCAGTCTGCATGTCTCAAGGCTAAAGGCTGTGGAAAGAAACAAAGCTCATAAAGATACAACTGATAACTATGTTTGGATTCATCTGGGCAAATATACAAATAACATTAACTGTGTAATAAGGAGATCACCGTTATTAACAGGTATGACAGACCGATACAAACACTGATTTTAATCTGTATACAAGGTGGTTTAAAGATTGAACAAAAACAAACACTAACTGCTCTCATATGTAACCACAGTTGTGAAGTCACGCAGAAAGAAATGTGAACGAACGTTGACTAACTACAACAAACCACGTTCTCTTAACCCAACACCTGTCCCCCCATGTTTCCTGTCTGCATCAACTGTCACATACAAAAAGACTTCAAAAGCAGAACTATTATGGGCTGTTCTGTGTTTTTAAGCTATCTCATTGAATTCATTAACAGTGCAAAACAGTTCTCGAGGTCTCGAGGCACTGAATACAATACCAGTGAAACTGGTTAGCACTTAAACTGCTGCTTGCCAACAAGAGAGTTCCCCTTAATGCTAAATGATTTTTAGAGCAAAGGTTTTTATAACTATGACCAAAAGTCACACCACAGTACTATTTAACAAGAGGTACAGATATAATTTAGATATAAAATGAAATGACCAAAATCAGTATTGTGTTTGAGGTGCTTTTTAAATTCTAAACAGCCTTTGCTCTTACGTTGGTATGAGCCAGAGATGCCAGATTGCGTGAGGCAGCGCTGCAGCTCATCTGCTGAGATCTGTCCATCCTGTCGGGGTTTATGAAAACACGGCAAAGTGGGATACACAACACGGTTAAGTAACTATCAGCTACTTTACAAAGGTTTAAAGAAGCATGAATGGTCATTACATCAACAGTTCATCAGGTCCAAAATCAGTGAAGTGATTTGAGACTTTGACTTTTGTCTCTTACCTGACCAGCAACAGCTGAAAAATAACCATAGAGAGGATCTTGTTGCTGAAAGTTAGAACGAAAGAAATCAAAGTCAGCGAGATTTAGCTGATTCTTCATATTATTCTGTATTTGTAGATATACTTGAGTTCCATAGAACTCAATGTCCTGCTATGAAAATAACAAACTATACTTTATACAAACTTTATTATAAAAAAATCTCAATATAAATAAACATATTCTTTTTGAATTTCTTAAATGCTTTTAAATGAAAACCTTTAAATGAAAATAGATGATTTAGATATTTCACAAAAACAACAGGATCTTGAAGGATATCAATATAATATACTAATAATAGTATACTATACTCGTGTATAATAATACACATATAATAGACATTATCTGTCTGTTCATGGGGGCTTTTTTACCACCCAACTCCTCCTAAACACTTATTTATTTTAAGTTATTAGTTACGGAACCAAATATGACACTTTTTAGCCTTTAGCATTTAGGTTATATATAAAGGGCTTTATCAATTAGTATGACATCATCATGTTGCCTAACAATGGACTAAAATGTTTTTAGCAAAGGAATTTTAGCATAAAGGCAGGTGTGGCTCAGGTGAAGTGGATGGTCTAACGATCGGAAGGTTGTAGGATTGTTCCTGGCTCCTCTAGTCCATGTGTTGAAAAATCTTGGGGTAATACCCCGAAATGCCCTCAATCCATTGTAGTGTGACTGTGTTAGATAAAAGCGCATTATGAATGTGTGTCTGTCAACCAACAGTTCAATCATCTAATTACTTCAGCTGTAAAAGTGACACACACTAACAATAGTTAGGTTATGTAGGTTACCAACCTCCAGTTTCAGTCATTTTAAATCAGCAGGCAAAATCAATCATGACTGGGTGAAAAACTTTCTATCAGGTCTCCTGAGAGAAACTAAAATGTAACCACAGGATTTATAAACCAAAACCCATCTAGCTGATCATTTCACAATCCTGTTTGCCACTTAAAAGGCTTGAAATGATTCAGTGTATTTTCTAATTTGCGTGGCTGCTTTCTGAGGCCTCATTGAAGAAGATGTGCCATCCTTCTCCAACACCATTATTTCTGTCATTAATGGACACTGTAATCTAAATAACAGATATATAGATAAATAAAAGCTGCACAACACATCTGGATACAATCATTACAAGAGACTGTCAAATGTTTGAAGTCCAAATTTGTTATATAATTAGTATAATTATTAGCATAAATCTAACTGCTTTAGACTACACTGTGAACAAACTGCTATCTGCTCTGATGAGGTGTGGCAGCTTCAGATGTGCTATGGTTAGGATTTTAGAAACAATTAGGTTAGAAATATGATCCACTATGAGCTTATTAAATCCTACTTGATGCTACTTAAAGTAAAATGTGATAATATAAGAATCATGGGTATTTGTGTGATTAAAATTGTTCCCTCACAACAAGAAGATCCTGAGTTTGACTCCACCACCTGGTGAGGGGCTTTCTGTGTGGGGTTTACATGTTCTCTCCGTGTTTGCATGGTTTCTTTCCGACTTCCTCCCCACAACCCAAAGACATCCAGTTAGTGGGGTTAAGTCAAATGGTTAATATAAATTTGCTAATAGGTGTGAATGTGAGTGCGAATGCCCTGCATCAGGCTGCCGACCTGTCCGGGTAGTAGCCCGCCTCTCGCCTTTGGTACCTGGGATAGGCCCCAGCCCCCCGCGACCCTCATAAGGATAAGCGGAAGAGAATAGATGGCTGTGTGTTTGCAACACAAATGCCTACATCATCTTATACTCTGAGTACCTTTTAAGTAAAAACAACACTTTTGCTCTGTTACGTTCCCCTGAGGGGTCTAGGCGGTGAGGGGGAAGTAACAAAAGGTGTCCAGGTCAGAAAAAGGAGTCAAGGAGGCAAAAGGGTTAAATTAAAGAGTTTTATTAAAGTAGCTCAACTAAGAGAGACGGACAAGCCGCTATCACCATTTAAGAAAAAACAAACAAAACTCAGGCGTTGGTCAATAAAGCAAAGTCAAAAGGAAAGCGCAGCTCACTAGCTGGAAACCACAAACAGCTCACTAGCTGCAATCACCACAAAACACACACAGCTCACTAGCTGCAAACACCACACAAAATGGCACTCTGGCCCAGAGCTCACCTTTCCCTGGGCTTAAATACTTTTAATTACTGATGTGAGTCAGCTGTGTTACAGGGAAAGGTGGCACCTCAGGCAGAAGAAGTGGTGGGACACGCCCACACAGGCACCTTCAGGAGGAGGCCCTGCTAGGGCCGTAACACCCCCTCCCATAAATACAAACCCGTGGTTTGTCAAATGATTATGATAACCAAAACAACTAATCAAGTCCGTAACCATCGCATCAACAAATTGCAGGCTTTCCACCTACCAAACCCCATATCAACGGTTAGGCATTGCCTGCGGAAGCTGCCAACCCCATCTCAACGGGTTCAAAATACTGACTGAGGGTGGCCGCAGACCCTCAAAACAATGTCTCATGTGGTGGCTAGGGCTTTTTTGAGCAATCACATGTGGAGAACACAGCAGGCAGTCAGAAGACCTTACTGCAACAGTTTTCAGACGATTGCTCAGGTCACGGGTACAGGCATGTTTGTTAGTCAGGGGTGCAGGTCTGAGTGGTGGTGTTATACATGATCTGTCCACCTGCAGGTCATGTTGAGGAACGGGGACATTGTCAACCAGCAGCAGCTCAGGGTTAGTTGACCTCTCACACTGACTAAATGACACGATTGAGCAATTATGCTCCAAGTGTAGCCTTTTACTAGGCCTGGCAACCTGGTCGGTTTGAGAACCACGACTAGCTTTTCTCAAAGCAGGCACTTGTTGCTTTGAGTCGGCTTTCCGTTTGAGTTTCAATTTTGAACAGTCAGCAATGAGGTGTCCAGGGTTGTGGCAGAAGAAACAAAGCTTTGTTTTGGGTCTCGAAACCACAACTTTTTCAGCCTTGTTAGCTGGCTCCCTCCTATCTCTCCAAGATGTATTATAGTGAGAAGGGAGGTCACATTCCACAGCATTTGTTTTATGAGTTAGGGTAAACTCATCTGCCAGTATGGCAGCCTGCTGTAAAGTGGAAACCCTCTGTTCGCTTAAATAAAGAGCAATGCACTTAGGAACAGAGTTTTTAAAATCCTCCACAAGCATGAGCTCACGTAACAACCCAAAATTGTGAACCTGGCTTGCAGAGCACCACCTACCAAAAAGCTTTGCCTTCTCCCGAGCAAAGTCAAGGTAGGACTGACCCTGTGCCAACTCCAAACCTCGAAAGTTCTGCCTATAGGCCTCAGGCACAAGTTCATAGGCTTGGAGGACGGCACTTTTAATCTTTTCATAAACTAGGCTGTCCTGCCTAGACAGACCAGAGCAAGCTTCCTGAGCCTTACCTGTGAATTTACACAGCAACATCACCCCCCACACGTCTTCAGGCCACTGTAATGCAGTTGCTATGCTTTCAAACACACTGAAGAAGCTCTCAACACTGGATTCACAGAAAACGGGAACCAGGTGGATGTTACTGCTTACAAACGAGCTTCTAGACACCTGTGCACTGATGGCTTCATCAGCCATTTTGGGGGCCGGAGAAGGGTTAGAAAACACCCTAATTAGGACACTACCACACCCGTCTGCCAACTCACTCAGAAACTACACAACTTAGTTTAACTGACCAACTGACCTCTTACAGCATACACAATAAACAAACACAACTTACCCAGTTCCTAAGCACAACAACCTTTACCTACCTATCTTCTGGAGCGTGCTGGGCTCGAGGCGACTTGAAAGGCAGAACTTCAGCGACCGGGGCCCTGAATTGCCTACCCCCAACAGGGAACTAATCCCCGCCCAGGATTACTCCGAAAATAAAAAAGGCAAAATAACAAAATAGTGCCCGAAGGAAGAACTTAATAAGCTCAGCTGGACACTCACCTAACTTAACTGGGAAGTTGAACCTCTAAAGGCGAAAAAAAAAAAAAACCCAAGATAATCAAAAACCAATTCCAACTCAAAACTCCCTTTTCAACGATCCCGGACGAGCCCCCACTTGTTACGTTCCCCTGAGGGGTCTAGGCGGTGAGGGGGAAGTAACAAAAGGTGTCCAGGTCAGAAAAAGGAGTCAAGGAGGCAAAAGGGTTAAATTAAAGAGTTTTATTAAAGTAGCTCAACTAAGAGAGACGGACAAGCCGCTATCACCATTTAAGAAAAAACAAACAAAACTCAGGCGTTGGTCAATAAAGCAAAGTCAAAAGGAAAGCGCAGCTCACTAGCTGCAAACACCACAAAACACACACACAGCTCACTAGCTGCAAACACCACAAAACACACACACAGCTCACTAGCTGTAACCACCACAAACACACACACAGCTCACTAGCTGCAAACACGACAAAACACACACACAGCTCACTAGCTGCAAACACCACAAAACACACACACAGCTCACTAGCTGCAAACACGACAAAACACACACACAGCTCACTAGCTGCAAACACGACAAAACACACACACAGCTCACTAGCTGCAAACACGACAAAACACACACACAGCTCACTAGCTGCAAACACCACAAAACACACACACACACACACACACACACACACACACACACACACACACACACACACACACACACACACACACACACACACACACACACACACACACACACACACACACACACACACACACACACCACACAAAATGGCACTCTGGCCCAGAGCTCACCTTTCCCTGGGCTTAAATACTTTTAATTACTGATGTGAGTCAGCTGTGTTACAGGGAAAGGTGGCACCTCAGGCAGAAGAAGTGGTGGGACACGCCCACACAGGCACCTTCAGGAGGAGGCCCTGCTAGGGCCGTAACATGCTCGATTGCGGAATGCATCCTTTATACAGTCATTAGTTAGTACGAATCTAAAACACACAAATACTGCTCGAGTTTCATTTTAAAGCCGAAAAATTCTTTAAGATACTTTGAAACCAAATATATTGTCAAAATGTTTGCATGTTATTTCAAATGGAAACCTGTATGTAACGGATCTAAACGCGGAATTTCTGTCAAACCGTCCAACTTCCGGACTGGTTGGAAAAGACGCCCATCCCGGGACGAAGGTCGGTTGATGTCTGTAAAACCGTTTCATCACAATTTAACGGTTTCTTACCATTCCTGGAAATCCACCGGGGCCAGCGCCGTATCCGGGAAAAGCCATCTTATTCCTGTTACAAAACGAAATAAACATAAGAATAGTAACGACTCAGAGCAAAACAAATCTAGCGACTGAGGGCGTGTCTGGTGATGTACGCAGGAAAACACCGAGAAGTGAGGCTATAAAGTGCCGTGAAGTACAATGACGCACAGATCTAAATGTGAACTTACCTGATATAAAAAGTACGACCTCAGAGAAGAAACAGACAACTGTGAAGCCTCGGAGGGGCAAATGTCCACTTTCCTCAGTGCGAGCCACCACATTAAGTTCTGATTGGAAAGGAGAGGACATGTGACCTCTAATTGACCAATATGATCAAGAGGGCTGGCTGTAAAAGTGAAACCTTTCTGCAGTAAATTAATGGATTAAAAATGTACACCATAAATATCAGTCAATACTTCAGTTTTAAAGTGGTTAACCACCACAGTCGAATTATTTCTAATCATAATTTTTACGGTAAAAGCCTTTAGTGACATTTTACTATCTATGAGCTGCTGTACAAAGCTTTTACGTACATACGTGTGATAACAAGATATTATTGCACATTTTGTAATGCAAAGTGTCGTGATCTTTGTATTATTTCTGGTTATGTTGTTATTATTCTCTTTCTTCTTTTGTCTGTTTTTGAATATTGATTGCTGGGTTTTCGTTGTTATTCACACTTCCTGTTTTGCCAGTGGTTTTCTCTATGTGACTGACTCCTATGTTCGTCTCTGTCTGCAACTCTTTGTATGTGTTAGTTTCATTCTGGCCCCTCATTCAGTTCACATATTGTTTCATTTTAAAGCTTAAATCGTCATGTGGTTTTTTGTGTTATTATTAATCCCATGTTTTGTTCCCACCCTCCCTAAGGGTTTTCTCGTTTCTCTTTTTTTGTCTCCTCTGGTCTCGTGCTCATGACCCAGAATCAATCATTGAGGTCTGTTTACCAAAATATCGATTCCTTAAATGCATCTGGAGGAGAGAGGAGCAGGAAGAGATATTAAACGAAAAAAATGGGAATGAGAGAAATTAAGTTTAGTTTATCCCCCTGCCCTCCTAGTGTGTTTGCTTTCTTTGCTTTCTGGATTTATCTTTTAGCTTAGTTGACATGATTTGTTTTTGTCTGTTTGTTTTGCAGTACTTTGTTCATGAGATTGAAGTGTTTGCATCAGTAAGTATCCTCAAGACCAAAAAATGAATCAGGAGAAATGTATTGATAGAAAAAGTTGTCAGTGGTTTATAAAGTATAAAGCTACCATGATAATGCCCTGGAGATTTTAAATTCCACTTTAAATTGCTTAAGACATACAGAATGTTTTTTTTTTCTTTTTACTTATAGTTTTTCTGTGATAAATCCTTATAATCTTTCCTTATGTTGGCCCTTCCTTAAAGATAACCACTTAAGTAAAAATAAATTCTCAGATGTTACTATTTAAAAAATGACTGGATTTGCCAAAAAGAAATAATTTTATTGCTGAAAGCTAGGTACAAAACTAAGAAGTTGATTTTATTTATTTATTTATTTATGTTTTGTGATTAAAATACAGGACTGATCCTTTAATGTAAGACATTACATCAGAGGCAGAAACAAACAGCCCAATCAGCTTCTTCTCTCAAGTGGCTCATACAGTCATTTCCTCTGCTTCCACCTCCAGTCCAGAGAAAACCCAATCAGAGGCTCCATCGTTTGTTTAGGAGGCAGAAAGGCAATCTGTTTCACCGCTTTAACCACACGCGTCAGTGGACGGTGCTGAAGTTGGCGCTGGGATGTACAGATTTAGTCATGAATGCTGGAATTGGTCACCCAGACCTTCTCTGTGTCTTCATCCTCAGCACTCAGGGAGCCTTGTTTCTGTCATGGTGAGCCACCGAGAAGAAGAGGAGGAGGGTGAAGAAACAGGAGAACTTCCAGCTGTATGTTGCTATAATACAGGTAGGTCTGAGATGTCAGGTTTTTGCAGCTGTAAATGCAGAAGGACAGGTTAAAAAATGGGAAACATAACAAAAAGTAGGCACTAAAAATGCATAAAAAGCATATCTAATTATTAAATGACATCATACAGAACCTTACTCATTGAGAGCAAATCTACATGGAACGTATGACAAACATAACATTTTTTTAAAGAAAAAAAAGAAAATGCATGTGTGTTCAGTTGATCACAATGTCATTTAAAAAACTGAACGATATCACACATACTATCTGGCCTAGACTAATAAAAAGGATGTGCTGTTGTATTTAGTTATATTAACTGATAATAAAATAATAGAAATATCAATAAGGATCCAAGTCATCATTGTGGATAAAATGAAAGTGTAGGTTGATTTCCCAAGAGGAGAGCTAAACAAGTACACATGCTCAATTTTTTCTCTCCTTAGCTGCCACATTGTGTAACAAAAGTCACATTTAAATCCAAGTATCTCTTATTGCTGAAGAATGAGTTTGCAAAGACTTACTGTTGATAGCATGACTGCTTTCACCACTGGAGTAAATGGTATAAATTACAAATCTTAACAAATCTAATCCTATTTAATGTTGTTTTTTTTGTTTGTGAAACCCCACACTCCCTGCTATTTCTGTATATTTGTTGTGTGTGTATGTGTGCGTGGGAATGTGTACCAGTATACTGCTGACTGCTGACCACGGTTTTAGTCCAAACCCAGCAGGTCTAATCAGCAGGTGGAGGAAACAGATGGTTCAGACATATGATTCAGCCATGACGTGTAACTCTAAGCCACCCTCTGCATTAATAAGCCATGTATATTTTGGTTGTTGTTTAGTGTAATGTATAGCTCGACCTCAGCCACTGATTGGTCAAGTTAACTTTGTATCTCACATATCTTTCTTCAGGATGTGGTGACATTATCAGTCAGTCTGCTGATGGTCAGTGGTCCATCTATGAGCCTCAGGTCCACTCAGGGATTCCCAACAGCACAGGGCTGTGTCAGCATGACGCGGGTGCTCCTTTGCAGCAAATAACAGTGGTTGAAGCTGAGCAAGGAGATGTATTCCAGCATTTCATGGGTTGTCAGTGCTGTGGAGGTCCAGGGATGGAAACCCAGAGATGTGTTTATAGACAGAGGGAACAAGCTGTTTTGGGTCACTGCTCATCAGGATCTCCATTTATCTACTGTGGAGGTGAGATTACACCTAGTTTCTAGGGTCTTTCCCTTTACCTTAGCAATTGTGATATTCAATGTACTGAACTAAGATGTTCCATCGGAGTGTTTAAAGCTGAGATTACTGTTGTCATTCAGCCAACACACACATATATTTATGCAGGCATCCATTTGAGACATATCAAAATGTTCTTGTATTTGATTTAAGCAGTGAGGAGGAACGTGATCATTGGAGTGGAGGTTGTAGAGGAGGTTGCAGTTGAAGACACTCTGGAAGTAATGTAAGTATTTAAGAATTATTATATCATATACCAAAATCATTACAGCAAATAAAGTAACTGTTTAAACATTATTTTGCACAACTAACACTTGTACACCTCATAACCTTTTTTTGTCTAACACATAAATACACCGCAGTTCATACAAACATACTACATATGGTTGAAAAAGTTTGTTGCTTGTGTATCTCTTCCCAGAACAGAGGATATTTATGCAGATGATCTGCTGGATCCAGATACATCACAAGAAAACCAGCCGTACCCCACATGAAGTGCCTTTCAGTGTTTCTCAGTTTCACTGTACGCTCTGTAAATAAAATTTAATTCACAGTCAGACGACAAATTTAAATGAAATGCATTTGTATGTATTATGAAGACGCAGGGCTGAAAAGCTTACCTGGTGTTAACATGTCTCCAAAGCTTAGGGAGTCAATGCCACTCTTCTAAGAAATGCCATCATTTGGTGTTATACGATGATAGTAAAAAATCCAATAGAAGATGTCCCATAGGTGTTTGATTTGGGTTAAAATTTCATCACTTTTCACCACTCACATCATATGACCGAAGTAATTCTTATGTTTATTAAACTGTACAGTGACAGGGTGACACCTCACACCCAATTAAAGTCCTACAAAGCACTAACCTGTTACAACGATCACCAATGGGACAGAAATATTATATCATACCGAAATGAGCACTTGGAGAACAATTTTCCATCAGTGTGAATTGAGTATACTCAAGGGGACAAGAAGAATCAAACTATGCTGCACAGTTCTAAAATCCACTGCGTTATGACTGTATGGTTTAGAGTTATGTATTTATCAGATATGTTTGTATTCTACATGAGTCCTTGTCTTTGATACTTATGTATACAAATAAAAAAGTTACAACTAATTTCTGAATTGCTATTATTTTTTATAATATAATATAATATAATATAATATAATATAATATAATATAATATAATATAATATAATATAATATAGCAACTATTGGACTTCAACTACCAGCATGCATCGCTATTGTTCTTCCGTCATCACTGCGCGCAGGATGTTCCGCTCTCCAGTACAGTGAACGATCCTTGTGATGATTTCAAGGGAAAATCTTTGTTCATTTTGATATAAAAACCCATCATGTCGGATTCATTACCGCCGCTAACTCTCCAGGACCGCATGGAGCGTCTTCAGGAGCTGACGGAATTTACTGAAAAGTGCAAAAAACAGATAAACGACATATTTGAAACGCTGGGATGGTCGCTAGACTACAAGAACTCCAACCAGGTAGCTAGCGTTTGTTTGGCTAATGTTAGCATTTATTGTTCAGTCAAAACAGCAGAAAACCTTCTCGGAATGTTTTGTTTTCCGTAGCAGCAATAGAGCAGCATCAGATTTAAGCGTTTAACTAAGTTTGAGTCCAGAGAGATTTGCTTAAGTGACTATAATGGAGTTTTTCTCTGCTGCCTAAGCTAAGCTAAGTTTGGGGCGTTTTCGGTGAGTTTCTAATATTTTTTTTTCTGAAGTCACTCAAGCTTGGTGGTAGATTTGCTGGTTGCTCTCGCCCAATTGGCACTTTTATTTGCTGTAATGTGGTTCTATTTTGGCTTTTTTAGTGGTCTACGTCTGATGTAATAAAAAAAAACTATAATTAATATGTCATGTGTCTTCTAATAGTGTTTTTATGCTTGCATCTTATAATATTTACCGGATTTTTTTAAGGCCGCTTTTCTTTTCCTGAGTTTTTTGTTATTTATTTCTTTAATGTGCTCTTCTCAAAAGTTTCAACGAGGATGCTTTTGAAGCTACACTTTGGTTTAAATGTCTTTGTTTACATGAAATAGTACAAGTTTTCCTTCTTTTGATTACCACATATACATTTGTATCTTCTTGGCGATCATTTTCTGGTAC